TGTATTAATTCAAGTCAAGATCATTTGTTAAATTCTAAATCCTTTGGTAACCTACCTGAAAAGGGGCTGGTGAGCTACTGGTTGCTCTTGAGTCACAGGTTAGAAACCCCTATTGTAGATGTTTATGTATATTTGTTTAACAATGTGGAAAAGAACACTATGTGATACATACAGTACGATTGATGGGTGCATGAATACTGCATGTGGCATTCCCTTTAAACAGCCACATTAATGTCCTATTTCATTTTCACTTTAACTTTGTCAATTGAATGTTATCAATAAATTGCCTACATAAATGCAACACAAAAATATATCTCTAAATCTTAGAAAATATTCCTCATATTTAGCAAGAAACTACTAGTTCACAAATTACCCCCAAGGACAAACACAGCAGAGGCTCAAAGCTGGGGTGCCAAATTTTCAAACCACATACTGGTAATATGGATCTATCTAGCAATCAAACAGTTGCTATAACCAGTTTTCACATGCATGTATGTAGAAAAGTGACAAAGAGAGGACCACACCCACTCAGCCAATCATCTCTCTGCACAAAGAGTCATATAGTGACCGACAGGGCAAGATGAAGACAGCATCTATACCACACACTACATTTAAATAGCACATTGTATAATTGCTGCTTCAATCACACGTCTGCCAAATACTTTTTTTAAATCAAAATGAGGATTGATGGTGTCTCAATTTTATTGTATGTGTCAATAATGGAGTTTTTAAAACGCTGAGATCACAGTCTTTCACACCTTTTCACAAACAAAGTTCTAAACAAGGGAACCATATATCACACTGTCGTAAGCCTGTAAGCAACACTGCATTTTAAATGTGGTTGGCCCACGCACACAAGGGAAATCGTTAATTTGCAAATACAAGTTTGGACGATCTTGACTATTGACACATGCCAATCATGTGACAGGTGGAAACGCCCCATCAACACAGGTGGAACTAAATTTTTCAGTAACATGCAGTCGCACAAATATGGAAACAATGTATGTTATCAAATTTTACTCTAGATTTAGTTAAACGGTTAAGGCACAAAACCTACACTTATTCTGACGGCCCGGCCTCAAAAGTTTGGGAACCCCTGACCCGGTCACAGACGTACAAAGTAAATTTCCATGTCAGCGCCACAATTTACTTTAATTCAGGTCTTTGCATCATCGTGGCACTGCTTTTGGGGAATAGGGATTTTCAAAGTGTAGAACTGTACTTTTCTTACTTTTCTTTATGCCTCTGTTTGTCCAATCTAAATGCAAACACATCCGAGAGGAGATTTTAGGAGATCTTATTCCACCTGTCTTTAATCATGTTATATCTTGTGGCCCAAGGTCTTGACTGCATGACTCCCTGACCTCCCATCCATGCTCATACTTGCAAAATTACACTTTTATGTAGTACCTTCTTAAACACTGATAAAACTTTAGGGCTTATGGCCACATTATTAAAATGTGCGGTGTGTCACCTTCTGCGGTGTGTCATCAGAAATATGTGTGTTTATCAAATCATTGTCAAACATAAAATAAGAATTAGAGTGTTCTTGTTGTGTCTAAAGGCTGTCTGTGATACTGACGACTTGAGGCTGAACTCTGTTTCTGTTGCAGTTGAAGAAACATGTCACCCTCTGGTGGCGATAGCGCTTGGAGAGGAGCACATAGACCACAGGGTTGATGCAGGGGTGGAGATACTGGAGCACTGTGCAGATGAAGTAGAAGATCTCCCAGGCCTGTCCATGGTGATACTGTCCCAGGTAAACACACAGCTCCAGCACATAACCAGGCAGCCAGCACATAGAAAAGGTAGCAGCAGCCAGGAACACCATGAGAGAAGCACGCCGGGTGTTCCTGGCACTTGACATTGACATTACAGGGCTCTTGTGAAGAAAAACAGCCAGGCGCGCATAGTTGAAGGCAATAACCAGCATTGGAATAAAGTAGTAAAGTACAAACTGGCTGAGCACCACTTGGTAGTGATGCTCATGAATAGTTGGAAGGCAGAATGTAAAGTTGGCCAGACTCGGGCTCAAGTTTTTTTTGGTAGCAAACATCCGCAGCGGTAGACTAATGAAGAAACTTAAAGCCCATACAAGAACAAACATAAAGATGACCAGGTCCATTGTGGGCGGCTGGTAGGGGTTGGTGATGATCATGGCACGTGTCATTGACACTGCGCACAGTGAATATGTGCTGGCTGCCAGGCTGAAAGCCAGAAGGAACTGGTACACTTTACAGGAGGTGTCACCCAGAGGCCACGAGTAACTCATAGCTGAGTGCACGGTGAAAGGGATGAGCAGCAAAGTGAGGAAGTCTGCCAGCGTCATGCTCAGGAGCAGGATGTCCAGTCGGTTTTTACGCAATGAGTTGTTTTTGGCAAATAGAGAGAAAACCAGTAGGTTGGCACAGAGTCCGATGACCAGGATAATGCCACAGATACATGCAAAGATGAGCCCATAAGTGTTGGGGAAAGCCATATTCCAGTCTTTACACCTATAAGTGACATACAATGTATTAATTTACCAAAGCTATTACTTTAAATGAAATAATATATACCATTTACTAATATACCTATCACTTGTCTAAGCTTCAATAGCTGTATAGTAACAGCTCCAAAATAGTGTTAGACTTACCATTGCGGTTCCTAGTAGGACATTGTTCAATGTTACAAACTGCTGTCACAAGTTACATTCTCTGTGTTTCTCGATTGCCCCATTCTGTTTAAGCCACCTGCCTCCCAGGATTCTCTTCAAAAGGTGAATGTAAAAGAGAGAAAGGCAAACAGTGCTTGGGTCACGTTGGTTATGGTTGACTTGGCTTTAAGAGATCACACCAGCTGTTGAATGAAGGGAGACTTGGCGACAATATGTTAATGTAGGTTTTCTTTATTCAGTAAATATAATAAAAAAGTGTTCTGATAAGTGAAGAAAGAAGTAAAAAATAATAATTAAAAACAAGGTTTTTATAAATAAATATTTCTGGGGGGAAAAAACAATAAAAAAAACTTTACTTGGATCTTTGAAAATTTTACTATTTATATGTTTCATTGAAATAGAGGAAAACTACTATTAAATAAGAAAAAGGCATGACCCATGTTCCTATCGACGTCTGCACTCAGATTGATTTCTCGACGGCTGTAGGTTCCTGAGCTTTATCAGGTGCTGCAGTGTTTATGACTCTGTGTCAGCTAATGGTGCGTTTGTTTCGTTATATCTGCAGGCTTTACAACCATTTCTGAGTGGAATAATATGATTAGGTTTCAACATGTTTGTAGATCAGGGGCCTCCAACCTTTTTCAATCGGACAGCTTCTTTTACAGTAAAGAAGAGAGCTACTCCTTTTTGCAGTCGTAATAAAAATCTAACAAAAGAACACATGTAAAATATACCATTGAACTATATATCCCTTTATTTATACTTATAGATATGTAATTAATATGTATTAATTCAAGTCAAGATCATTTGTTAAATTCTAAATCCTTTGGTAACCTACCTGAAAAGGGGCTGGTGAGCTACTGGTTGCTCTTGAGTCACAGGTTAGAAACCCCTATTGTAGATGTTTATGTATATTTGTTTAACAATGTGGAAAAGAACACTATGTGATTACATACAGTACGATTGATGGGTGCATGAATACTGCATGTGGCATTCCCTTTAAACAGCCACATTAATGTCCTATTTCATTTTCACTTTAACTTTGTCAATTGAATGTTATCAATAAATTGCCTACATAAATGCAACACAAAAATATATCTCTAAATCTTAGAAAATATTCCTCATATTTAGCAAGAAACTACTAGTTCACAAATTACCCCCAAGGACAAACACAGCAGAGGCTCAAAGCTGGGGTGCCAAATTTTCAAACCACATACTGGTAATATGGATCTATCTAGCAATCAAACAGTTGCTATAACCAGTTTTCACATGCATGTATGTAGAAAAGTGACAAAGAGAGGACCACACCCACTCAGCCAATCATCTCTCTGCACAAAGAGTCATATAGTGACCGACAGGGCAAGATGAAGACAGCATCTATACCACACACTACATTTAAATAGCACATTGTATAATTGCTGCTTCAATCACACGTCTGCCAAATACTTTTTTTAAATCAAAATGAGGATTGATGGTGTCTCAATTTTATTGTATGTGTCAATAATGGAGTTTTTAAAACGCTGAGATCACAGTCTTTCACACCTTTTCACAAACAAAGTTCTAAACAAGGGAACCATATATCACACTGTCGTAAGCCTGTAAGCAACACTGCATTTTAAATGTGGTTGGCCCACGCACACAAGGGAAATCGTTAATTTGCAAATACAAGTTTGGACGATCTTGACTATTGACACATGCCAATCATGTGACAGGTGGAAACGCCCCATCAACACAGGTGGAACTAAATTTTTCAGTAACATGCAGTCGCACAAATATGGAAACAATGTATGTTATCAAATTTTACTCTAGATTTAGTTAAACGGTTTAAGGCACAAAACCTACACTTATTCTGACGGCCCGGCCTCAAAAGTTTGGGAACCCCTGACCCGGTCACAGACGTACAAAGTAAATTTCCATGTCAGCGCCACAATTTACTTTAATTCAGGTCTTTGCATCATCGTGGCACTGCTTTTGGGGAATAGGGATTTTCAAAGTGTAGAACTGTACTTTTCTTACTTTTCTTTATGCCTCTGTTTGTCCAATCTAAATGCAAACACATCCGAGAGGAGATTTTAGGAGATCTTATTCCACCTGTCTTTAATCATGTTATATCTTGTGGCCCAAGGTCTTGACTGCATGACTCCCTGACCTCCCATCCATGCTCATACTTGCAAAATTACACTTTTATGTAGTACCTTCTTAAACACTGATAAAACTTTAGGGCTTATGGCCACATTATTTAAAATGTGCGGTGTGTCACCTTCTGCGGTGTGTCATCAGAAATATGTGTGTTTATCAAATCATTGTCAAACATAAAATAAGAATTAGAGTGTTCTTGTTGTGTCTAAAGGCTGTCTGTGATACTGACGACTTGAGGCTGAACTCTGTTTCTGTTGCAGTTGAAGAAACATGTCACCCTCTGGTGGCGATAGCGCTTGGAGAGGAGCACATAGACCACAGGGTTGATGCAGGGGTGGAGATACTGGAGCACTGTGCAGATGAAGTAGAAGATCTCCCAGGCCTGTCCATGGTGATACTGTCCCAGGTAAACACACAGCTCCAGCACATAACCAGGCAGCCAGCACATAGAAAAGGTAGCAGCAGCCAGGAACACCATGAGAGAAGCACGCCGGGTGTTCCTGGCACTTGACATTGACATTACAGGGCTCTTGTGAAGAAAAACAGCCAGGCGCGCATAGTTGAAGGCAATAACCAAGCATTGGAATAAAGTAGTAAAGTACAAACTGGCTGAGCACCACTTGGTAGTGATGCTCATGAATAGTTGGAAGGCAGAATGTAAAGTTGGCCAGACTCGGGCTCAAGTTTTTTTTGGTAGCAAACATCCGCAGCGGTAGACTAATGAAGAAACTTAAAGCCCATACAAGAACAAACATAAAGATGACCAGGTCCATTGTGGGCGGCTGGTAGGGGTTGGTGATGATCATGGCACGTGTCATTGACACTGCGCACAGTGAATATGTGCTGGCTGCCAGGCTGAAAGCCAGAAGGAACTGGTACACTTTACAGGAGGTGTCACCCAGAGGCCACGAGTAACTCATAGCTGAGTGCACGGTGAAAGGGATGAGCAGCAAAGTGAGGAAGTCTGCCAGCGTCATGCTCAGGAGCAGGATGTCCAGTCGGTTTTTACGCAATGAGTTGTTTTTGGCAAATAGAGAGAAAACCAGTAGGTTGGCACAGAGTCCGATGACCAGGATAATGCCACAGATACATGCAAAGATGAGCCCATAAGTGTTGGGGAAAGCCATATTCCAGTCTTTACACCTATAAGTGACATACAATGTATTAATTTACCAAAGCTATTACTTTAAATGAAATAATATATACCATTTACTAATATACCTATCACTTGTCTAAGCTTCAATAGCTGTATAGTAACAGCTCCAAAATAGTGTTAGACTTACCATTGCGGTTCCTAGTAGGACATTGTTCAATGTTACAAACTGCTGTCACAAGTTACATTCTCTGTGTTTCTCGATTGCCCCATTCTGTTTAAGCCACCTGCCTCCCAGGATTCTCTTCAAAAGGTGAATGTAAAAGAGAGAAAGGCAAACAGTGCTTGGGTCACGTTGGTTATGGTTGACTTGGCTTTAAGAGATCACACCAGCTGTTGAATGAAGGGAGACTTGGCGACAATATGTTAATGTAGGTTTTCTTTATTCAGTAAATATAATAAAAAAGTGTTCTGATAAGTGAAGAAAGAAGTAAAAAATAATAATTAAAAACAAGGTTTTTATAAATAAATATTTCTGGGGGGAAAAAACAATAAAAAAAAACTTTACTTGGATCTTTGAAAATTTTACTATTTATATGTTTCATTGAAATAGAGGAAAACTACTATTAAATAAGAAAAAGGCATGACCCATGTTCCTATCGACGTCTGCACTCAGATTGATTTCTCGACGGCTGTAGGTTCCTGAGCTTTATCAGGTGCTGCAGTGTTTATGACTCTGTGTCAGCTAATGGTGCGTTTGTTTCGTCCTGGATCACCACCTTCATTGTTGTTCAATGATATATATATATATATATATATCATTGTTGTTCAATGATATATATATATATATATATATATATATATATATATATATATATATATATATTAGTGAATAGTGTGCCATATTCAAAAAACAAGAACACTCCATTGATCATACAACAGAGCATAAATCATTAACTAGTTTGTGGTTTCCAGTTAAAAAATTGACTTTTCAATCACATTATAAAGTTCCCTCTGCCATTTTAACTGTGTGATGATGTTGCTTGCAGGTTTGAATCTTGCATTGAACCTGGTACTCAATAATACCACATTATATACCATTTGTTTTCCAAGAAAATCTGCTGCCACAGTAAATTAAGCAATGAAGAGAAATGCCCTCTGGATATAGAAGAACTAAAGGTCCATTTCATAACCATTTCAGATCAGTATTGTGGTTTATAGTGAACAAAAATAAAAAGTAAAACATATGGTATACTGCTGTATCATCCCACATACTTGTTTTGACCAAACTAAACACAAGACATAACACACACATCCATTTATCCATGTTATTATACATTTTGCTGTTGGGCTATTTACAATTTCCTCAGTGCATTTAACAACAGGTTAGTTGATGGAGACAGGCAGAATGAACATTCCATAATGGATGTATTATGACAAAAATATGAAAATACTCGTAAACGTATTCATAATAATTCAAGGTAAAGTGCACATTTGATTCAGTCAGCAGTACCATATACATTCAGAAAATAAATACCCCTGTTAGTATGGTTTAAATATGTTAGTTAAGGTGATTGTGGCAACTTATTTGTCCATTGATTTATAAATCCATATGATAGGCATGCCATTCCACAGTTACTTGTTTATTTTATACAGATAACTTCAACCCCAGCCCAGCTGACCGTTTTATTGTATATCAATGCAGACGTCTGTTATAGTTCATCCCAGACCAGTTCTGACAGAGCGACTTTTCCGTCGTTTTTTGTCACTCTCTCTACGTCGGCCAAGGCGTGCTTTCTTCTTCTTCTTGATTACCAACTTTAATGTTTGATCCTTATATGCCCCGGCTTTGTTGGTCTCTTGAGGGAGTACAGGGCTATCCAGCCCATATCTCTCTGAAAGGTCTTTGGTGGCCCCCTGGGGCTTTTGAGGGACAGAACTCCCACTGTAAGTTTGGCTTGATGTCTTGCTGATGTGTGGATCACTTTCACCAGCTGTATGCACCTTCTCCAACAGTTCCTGTATCCACAAGCGACGCTTCAATTCCTGCAAGGAGCGCCCTTTGTCATGCATGAGCTGTGCATGACTTACAGTCCTCCGTCTATACCACACAGAAAGACAAGTTAGAGTGAATCTAAATCATATTACACAATATTCTGCACCCCGAGCATTGGTCAGAGATGAAGAGAACTTTATAATATGTTTTATAGACCACATATATACTTACATTCTGCCCCGATATGAATCAAATGGCCTTCCATAAAGAGTCACTGGAGCTAAAATAAAAAGGAGAGCCAAACTCCACTGATGTATATTGCTTACAGTATACAACCTAAACAAAAACAAAATACAATTATTGCTTCTTTAATTGCAAAACATCACAAGCATGTTCTCCTCTCTTCTTTCAAAGATTGGTAATCCTTTTTAGTCAACTGCATTTTAAATATTATAATAATCCTCATAAATATACTTACATTTTTGTTAACCTTTAGATCTTTCAAGATATTAGTTTGTCCATTGTTCCAGTTTCACAAAATAATGTATATCCATTGATTCTGTGAAGACCCAGGGAATTATCCGGTGAAGAGGCTTCATTCATACCCCTCTCAACAGTGTGTGTTGAGTTGTCTGGGTTCAACCAATGCCCCATTTAAAAGTAACATATCGATAAAAATAGCATTAGCAGTTCTTCAGCTGGAGCAGCGACAGCGCAGTAGCACCTTATGTTTGCCAGGCTTCGAGAAGAGCAGAGAGCGAGGTCCAACACTGAGCGAGTTCTCTCTGTCTGACAGAGGGACCACTAAAAAAGTGAACAACTCTGTGGGTGCTCCTGCCCATTAGACCTATAGTAACACCTCCCCAGTCTCTCAGCCCTCAAGACCTCTTCATCCCCTTTGAGTCTCACCTGCTGGGATAAGAAGGCAGTAGTTTAAAGCAATAACCAAAACCTGTAACATTAATATGTGGCTGATAGTTTTAGAGATGGATTTTTGTAGAAATAATTTGACAGAGGTCGCAATTGAGAAGTGTGTAATGGAAGCAGACCTGAGGTACCACACAGAGAGGTTTGAAGGGGAGGGGCAGGGTTACTCCAAAGTAAACACAAGCCTAACCACTTTCCCAGAGGAGAGTGACCATAACCTCAGAGAAAGTCAAGCCACAGTCACTCACTGCAGAGCATTCAATTCTCAAACCAGCTCACCACTCTATGGTTACAGTGGGCTTTGTGGCATTGCATATACTTTTTATTCAATGTGTTTCAAGTGCACAGTAGCTCAGTTGGTAGAGCATTGGCCTGAAGGTCGTGGGTTCGAGCCCACCTCAAGACCTACTTCACGACTCCCACTGATGTCTGCTGTCGTTATGTCCTTGGGCAAGACACTTAACCCCACTTTGCCTGAAGCTCCCACTGAAAGATCTCAGCTCCTGTGGACTCACCACCTGCAGGAGGATCAGTGAGGGGCTGGTGCTCTGTGACTGGGTGCAGCACTGACTGCCACCCCCCCAACCCAGAAATGGATTAAGGGGAAGAAAATGGATGGATGGATGGATGGTGTTTCAAGTAACACACTATTTCACAAATTTTAGTCTAGATTTGTCCATTTGAACAAGGTCTAATCGGTCATACCATTCAATCAGTCTTTTTCGATTACTTTTTCTTCAAAGGACACAAACACATGCAGTGGCACAGCGTTTAGCTGAAGATTCCACCTCCAAACAGGGCCTTTCTGTGTGCAGTTTGCATGTTCAGTCCTCCAGGTGTTCCGGTTTCCTTTACCACTAAAAGATTTACATTAGTTCAGGGAATTAATGTGTGTTTGTAAGTGCAACTGAGGAAAAAAAGATGGAAATTTCACCTGCTGTTCATTAATGCATACTGTTGCATCCAAATAAAGCTATACACACACACACACACACACACACAGACAACGGTAATGAATAATGTGACCCATGGGCACTGCGTATGAGGGTGTTGGTATGGTATGGTATGGTATGTACTTTATTTGAACACGGACAAATGAACATTAACACAGAGAGTTGCATTGTACCAGTTTATAGCTAAGATGCTAATTTCCGTCTGTAGTCCCTGGGCACAGAGGCGTCCCTTGCCATTAGGCAAGGCAGGCATCTGCCTGGGCCCCCAAACCGGCAGGGGGCCCCCGAGGGCCGACTGATTTGACACAAGTGGTCGACTTGTACAGGCTTCATGTGTGTCAATGCTGAGGGGGGTGAATTTTTTTGGATCACTCTAGTTTACTTGCGGTACATTTTTGAAGTCTCTCGTTCAAATGAATGGAGCTGCGCCGGCTGACGCATGCGCAGATGCGTTTTTTCCCAATTTTCTTGTGGGCGGGACCACTCGCGGCCATTTTGGATAGCTCCAGTAGAGCACATTTTTTGGCCCATTAGTTAGAACGGCGGAGATAGGCGTGACTCTGTCCGTTAATATATACAGTCTAGGATTTGGCCCTCTGTGTTTAAATAGACTATAAACACCAAGGGCCAAATGAAAGATTAGATTTTGTAGGATTAATACATTTTGATAGGTAGTTTTTGTAATAATTATAACATGATGAGTGTAGTGCACAAGCTAATGAAAAAACATGCTAAATTATTTCTCATTGCTTTGTGTCATGAGTACTGAAGTATGCACAATTTTCTATGGTAGACTGTACAGTCTGCCAGGCAGGCCCTAGGCCTAACCATTTATTGTTAAAAAAAAGAAATTATTATTTAATTATTATTAAATAATTATTATTTATTTTATTTTAATGTAAACAAGTAATAGATATTTCATTTTACCTTATTATTAATATATATTTATACCTACTGTAATATAAAGGGTGCTAGTAAAAGTCATCTCCGTCATGGACAACACCTCCCACTGCACAGGACTGTAGAGGAGCTGAGGAGCTCCTTCAGTGGAAGAAGGAGCGCTACCGCAGGGCCTTTATCCCCACCGCTGTCAGACTGTACAATAAGTCACTTTAAGTCATTTTTAGTCACTTTTAGTCACTTTAAGTCACTTGCACT